TTGGTAATCTATTCAATATAGAAAACCTAATTGACTTTAAATTCTTTCACTGTCATCCCGCATTACTGACTACTAAAAGCCTAAGACCAAGAGTGATACAAAATGCAGCAAAAGAACACTGAAAATAATGTAAAGAAAAAAGAGAGCTAATATTTCTGGTCTAAAAAAAGCGTAGTTTTTTCCTTCGGGTTGTTGACATTTGGAGATTAACCAGACGCTTCAACAACTTTGATTACTGAGAGAGTTGAGATATGGAACGACACTGCAGCTTCTTTCTTTTAGTTTTTATCACAAATTCTTCGAAGAAAAATGAAAGTGGAACGGTAATAATAACTGGAGAACAGAATATTACCATTTAGGTAAAGAAGCATGGACCCAGAAATGAAATGTTGAGGGAAAACAAGTCAAGTGCCTGCAATAAACTCAAAAGCAAAAAATCCATTGCTTGCCAAAAATGAGCTATCACTTTTGAGCGGACGTTTGCAACATTCAATCTTAATATATATGGAACGTCTTTGCCACCAAAAAAATAAAGATTAAATGTGGTCGGGTACTCTTACTCTCAACAGGACATGTAATTATGTCTTATTTGCTCTTTTCTTCTCTTACCTTTCGTTTACACTGAGTGGGATATTGAAAAAAAAAAAAAAAAACAACAGAAGCAGGAAAACTTTGTAAAGGAAATATTTTTAAAAGGATAGACGTCTCCAAAATTTTATCCTTTCTTTTTTCCCCTACCTGTGTCATCCCCGTGAAGTTAATGCTCCCAACTGCAGAAAAGTTGACAAGCTTTGAAAAACACTTCCGCAACCTTCTTCTCATCTACCATAGCACAATAATCGTTTAAAACTGACAGCATACGTGTTATATAAAAAACTGACAATTATGAGAAATAATTTGCAGTTTAAAACTAGTTATTGGAACAGATAATGAAATTCACTCGCCACTTTAACTTACAGCCACTTAAAGTAACAAAAAATGTTATGTTGAGACGAATAAGACATAAAACACAGTTTTATGCTGAAAGACGAGGACTAACTAGAGCGAGGAAAGCATATTATAAATGACGAAAATAAGACACTTTTAACCTAGAAACTATCAAAAAACTAAAAGTTTTAAGATCAAAGCAAGAAACAAGTTGATTCCCCCTGAATTACTATTGTGCAATTTCTTTAAAATATAAAATTGTTGTTATCAGGTTTAAACGGTCAACTACAGACAAAAAAGCTGAGAAGAAATCCTCTATTCACTCAATTTCTGTTCATTCATTTCGATTGTGAAATTTAAAAATTTACACACCTTATCTGACAGTCAGCAAACGTGAAAACCATTATTTTTTTATTCTTTTGATAATGCAGACTCTAATGCTGAAAAGTTTTTGCTATGATACGATAGAAATCACTCAAATATGCTTTAAAAAATGTTAACTGATGGTTTGAACGCCCAGAATTTAATTTCAACTGTACATTTTTGCAGATCAAAATCCGTCAGTCAAAGAACGAAACAGTTGAAATTATAGTAATTTCTCACTTTTCAGAAAAAATAACAAATAGCCTAGTCGCCTAATAGCTGTGAAAGAGAGAAAAATAAAATGAAAGAAATACTGACTGCAACTAATAGGCTTAAGACAGTTCACAAGCAGGAGCTATGTTTTGAGAATGAAAACTGCGCAACTAGTTGAAAATACCGTTCTTTTTAGCATGCTAACCAGAATAACAGTCCTGATACTCTGAAAAAAGGAAGAATAGCATCTGCGGGAAACAAATGAGGCCCCAGAACAACCAAAAACCACATTTTAGCTCCTCTATTCTTACCATCAGTCTCTCCACAAATTCCTCTTCAGCTTGAGACAAGTAACCAATGCGCAGTAAGCAACTGAAGAGTTTCAGTTTCTTTTCAATTCAGAAATCGAATATCGCATAAAACTGTAATAGATAGCTCTAAAACAGCAGACAAGGAAAATAAAGTACCGAAAAACAGCGAGGATTTTGTCAAAATTGAATGAATAAAGAGCAGTGAAGCTACGCTTACAAATCAATATATTGAATCTGAGTGCCCAAATAAGTTCACCGTGTGCCGAGATAAAAAAGTTGTTTGCTTAAAAGCGCTCCATCCCACTTCAGGCAAAAACTGACCAAACAAGGAAAAAGAAAGTTCTACCTCAGCATAAAAATATTAAAAATTTTAGTCTATTTTATTCACAGACTGCTCCTCCTTAATCTGCCTGATCCAACACTTTTGCTTGTCCATAACTTCGGCAAATAAATCTCCACCTGAATAACAAAGTTTAAAAATTTTTGTTCAGCTCTTTCGTTTTTTAGAATTGGGTAAAATCTCCTTTCCTAAAAGTTTAGATTTCACCGACAAAATTCTTTTTCCCAATAATCATAAAAGTTCAGCATACGTATAGTAGAGCATCAGCATTACAGTGTTTGCACCTGTTATTGTGAGCGAAATTCTGCTTTTATTCTATTTAGACTCCGATTATCACTGGGAACCACAAATGCTGTTCAAATAAACCTTGCTTAACGCACCAATCGCTAGGTGCTCAAAAGTACTTTGTATCTTTATGAATATTTACAAGTAAGAATCATAAACCGACACTTTGCAATGCAAATTTCTGTCATCATTTCAAATGCTACCAGTTAACACTAACTGATCGTATTTTAAATTTCTGCTTCCTCCATTTATCCTCACTAGTCTCTATGAAAACCATTAGACGACCGGCCTGCCAAGTGTTGTCCTTAAACAATGATGACAACGAAAACACATTGAAACCCAGCAAAATCTTTAATGCCTTTGAAGGAATATGTCGGCAACGACCAGCAAAATTCATTGGCATACAAATAGTAAACTACGAAACTGAAAAAGAAACACAGTTAAGTCGCACAAGAACTGCTCATTAGTTTGAAAAAAAAGTGCATGATAACGCAGGGCTCCCTGAATGAAAGAAGTTTTCCTTCCATTGTATTATTCTGTCAGAGTTTAACAAGACAACAAGCACTAGCCTGAACAATTGCAGAAACAAATATGTGCTGTAGCTAAGAAACCCTACTACACGAAGAAACAACATATAAAGTTCATGCAAGTAAAAAAACGAATCATTAAAACGTACGTTAGTAGTAATGCCAAATTGTACAGAAAAAGCAAAAGCATTTTAAAAAGCAGACGTTGATTTAAAAAATAATCTATAATCCCTCATAAAATTAATTATAACCATTGAGACCTCATCCCGCACAAAAAAACGTCTGCTAGGTAATAAACAAGTACTTGCCAAACAAAAGCAAAAATAGTAGCCTTGGGATACGATTAAAAAGCCGTATTCTCATTTAATTTAACTTTCAA